CTTTACCTCAACAAACTTTATATTTTGTTTTTGAATTGCTAACGATATTGAACAAAAGACAGCAAAAACAGAATTACTGACGTCCGTGTCTTTTACATTGGATTCGTCATCAATATTGACACTTTCTTTGAACTAGGATATAACCAGTGGGTAAGACACAATAATTATCTTATTATTTCTCAAACACTCATCTTATCTGTTTTTAATGTCTTGCAGAATAAACAAAGTATGAGATTGGTTCTCCAATTGTCTCCTTTGTTCTTGACTTAATTGTACGTGGAATATTTATCAATTCTGTTGATTTATATATAAATATGTTCTGGAAGTATCATCATCAACATCCACGAAATCGTCTATGTAATATTGCTATGTTAGATATTAATCTTGATTTATTTCACTAAAGAGTCTTATTTTTCTGTCAGACCATGTGAATATATCTTATTGTATTTATTCTATTATAATTGTATACTAGTTCATTGATTTCAAAAATTTTTCTACCATGTGTCTCATTAAGAATCTTGTATTGATATCTTAGTTGTACAACATACATTTATATCGAATAGCTGAATCATTTTTATTTATATCATAGAGAGTAACGTATCTAGTGAGGATTGTTCTAAAGATGATCATGTTTCTTTTCCAAAGTGGAAGATGAGTCTGAAATTTGAAAAGATCAGTCAGAAGAAATTTGCTTATCTATATGTAAAAAAAGAGCTGTAAAGGAGAATGTCACACTGAAGATATGATAAACAGGACGAAAATGTTCAAAATTTGATCGAAATTCTCAGAAAAAAAACCGTTTCTATTGATCATAATAATTAATGGTAAAAGAAATATCTATGAAAACGACATATGAGTACAGTATACATAGGTTATGTATTTTAAATCAGGAAATATAATATACAATGTAAAAAAAAAACAAATATATCAATTAATATGATTGCAGTTAACTAGAAATATTAAGTTTGCTTATTAGATTCTTATTGATACACTTTGTGATGATTTATAAACATATACAAAAACAAGAGAATATTGTGTAATTATTACCAATATATTGGACTACAAACGAAAGTGAAACAATAGAGATGAGAAGCTTTTCAAGTCCCTACATTGTTTTTTGACTGACAAAAAAGGTATAGTAAAACGGTGAATGTTCTTGTAAATACTAAACAATAAAATGTAAACAGAAGGATGCTCTTTAACTCAGACTGATAGCGCCAGGAGCACTCCTCTGAGAGGAGTCGCGTAGAGGCTTCTTTGATTCTCTGTGATCTTCGATGATGAGGAAATATTAAAAATTCATGTTGTGAAAAGAGGAGGAAGGGCGCATAAGAAATATATTCAGCGCACGCGACTTTTCAATCGTCGATATCAATGAATGCTACATAAAATAGAAGAACACAACATGGTGAAGATTTCAATACTATAGTCAAGATACTTGAGTAACATTTCAAAGAATATGTTCGTACCCTGTATATGAAACGTATTGACCATCTATGTGACACTGTTAACGGAAGCTCACAAAACCATGATTCATGGTTCAGTCTACATTCTCCAGTCGTTCACTTAGGTTACATTTTGAAAAACAAACCACTTTTCCGGAGAACCATTTCGCTGAGAAGCCCCATCTTCATTGTCCTAATTTGGGATAAAACATAGGTAAATGCACTTCTTTCTTCTTTCTTGTCCAAATAGACTTTCTTACTTCAACTGTATTATACCTTAGTAGGTAGCTCGTGAAAAATGCTGCAAGTTGATCTAATTTTCAATCTCTAAAAAGTCTAGTCACGAGAGTATTATAGGAATGCCGAATGAAAAGTTAACTCGAACTACTACACATAGTGACAGTATGATTCACTTTGATCGAAGTGAACGTGAGTATCAGTGTAGAGGGCTTCCATGTAGCGGGGTATGAATGTAAGTGCCGATATAATTCGAATATAGTGTCTTCTGTCACATACATACCAACATCTCTATCCATAGGAAAACTCACGTGATCCACACCTTAAATGGAACGTACTACTGCTACCAAATTAGGAGTATCACTTTGGAATTCCATTCCGAGGAACGAGAAATATGAAGTGAGTTCTGATCTTAGGAACTAAAAACATATTATAGTTTAAAAAAAAAACATAGGCACAAATGTCTCAATATCTCGATGCATTTAAACATTGTCAAGAAAACGTAGTATGGGATGCGTTCTCGTTTCATGAAAACAGGATGCTGAACGGCTCGATCATGATCAAATCGGTTTTCATCTCTATGCTTTTAAATAAATATATAGTCGTTTCAACAAATACCGATATTTTCAATTGTCATATATATCGACCGATTTGTCTGAGTCCTTGCTCATCAAAATTAATTCGATAACTGGTGCAGTTAGCATCAGTTGATAGGGTATTTTATGCTGCCTGCCTCCACGATCCTTTCAGGACTCTTGATGTTATTGCCAAAAGGATAATAGCAGAACTCAAGTACAACAAAGTACGGTACAATTACGTCAAAATTACTTTTAAATACTAATTCGATACGATGGTAATAGTATCATAAAAAAGGTCTGATACATCATCTAATTGTCGGTATAATATTGTTAAAATATCCTATTTTTATTCAGGTCGATTGATAGAGTGACAAATTTATTTATTTTCGAACAATTATCAATCATTTTTTCATACCTTGAATCATTATCAATTAAAAATTCCTATGATTTGTATGTATTAATGATACTTATTCTTTCAAAAATGACTCAATATTAAAAACGATGCATATATTTATTGAAACAATATATGATGATAATATTCTAGATAAATTTATGTCATGGCTTATTAATTATACCCATAGACGTGATCTTGATCAAGCTGATGTTAAATTTACTAATTATCGATTGTCGTTTTGTTTTGAATGGAATGAACTCTTTTTAGAATTTACGCGCTTTTATAAAAGAAATCTCTTATTGTTTTTTTTTTGTGTAAATTCGAATGGATCCATTCGTTTTGTCACGAAATGCTTTTAACATCTATTGCTCCGAATATGCTAATACCAATTCATCTGCTACTGTGACGAATAATAATAATAATCAACCAAAAATTGATACAAATCATTCCTCAATATGTCAACCAGAAAAAGTAAATCAAAATAATTTTTATTATGAGAAAGCTATTCATCAATTAAATCATCGATATGAATATTTTTTACAAACACTCGATCGATTACAAATATCATTTGGACAAATAGCTAACACAATATCACATAAAAATCATAATATCAACTCACTGAGCAATCGTGAAAGAAAAACTTCTATATCATCTTTTGTTACCAATAAACGAAATAATAAGAAACATTTGTATCAATCAGTAAAACGACGTATGCCAAAAGTATATATCACAGTTTCTTGTGCTGAACATTTCACACAACAACAACCTAATGTTTAAATAAACTAACGAACATCAATGCTACTCCAAAGTAACAAGTACTAGTTTTTTATTTCAAAGTTCAGAGACAATAGAATAGTCAGGTAAAACTTGATTTCTTGTTCGAATCGTAGTATATCATCCAATTCAGAGATTTACTTAGTTACATAGAATACTGATGGAATAACTTTTCTTTTTTTAACAGTAACAGCTGACCACTTCTCGAATTTCTATTCACAGGTTAGGATGAAATTTTTCTGATAAATCAAGACTACTAATATTGATTTTCTGGCTTCGATCGAAAACGTTTTACTAACACGCTCATTTCACATAGACAACATTTTTGAACAAAACAAAATATTCACAAACTATCTTTAGCAAATTGCATTCATTCTATGAAAGATCCGCAAATGTAAAGCACCGTGTAAACACATATAGATTTCTCTAAAAATGATAGAAAACATCTATTGAGGTTTATCGTACAATGACTGTCGTCCACTGAAGATAGATCATGGATATCTTATTTTTCTCCAAAAGTTTTTTTATTAGATGAACTTGTTTCCAAAATGTTTTTGATAGAATCTAGAAATTTGGTTGTGTTAGTTTTGGTTTTACTAGAGACCTTCACCTAAATCTACTAATGAAAATTTTTTTCGATTTGTTCTAGCTCTTAAGGTTAAGAAAAGAAGTTAAAGATACTTTATTTCTAAACCGTTTGACCCCCATCGTATAACTATATTGAACAAGGTTCTAATCATAAGAACTAATGAATGAATTATTCACTAGGAGATCAAATAAAATGAGTATTCTATGACGTGGTCTAAAGAATTAGCGAAAATTCTTTTAAAATATCCTTCGTATTTTATTAATAAGCATTAATAAATAAGATTAATTTCCGTTATTGGTTGCACGATTTTGATGAATATCATAAGAACAAGTGTAATTCATATTCAAGTAATACAAATCCGACATCGGCCTAACATATTTCTTTTTAAATACGATACTGCAGTACTTGAGAATAAGCAGAACGAGTCAGTTTTCGTTTCCACTACCATCAGAATCGGAACGAACTTGTCCATGTGTATTTGTCCTATTAAACTTGATAACAATTGATAAAAATAAAACATCAAATAATACTTGAACATCACTGTAATAATATTACATAATCGTCATGATCCATCATGAAATTTCGCCAAATTTTTACGACAAAATCTAACTTGCTCTTGTTTTTGTTCATAATTGAGTTGGCAGGTATCCGATGTGATATGACTTTTCTCATCTTCAAACAATCGTGGATAATTTGTTTTATTGTACCATGAGAAAAAGAAATGTCAACTAGAATACCATAATGAGTTGAATGCGGATCATTGTTGATGATTTGTCGTGTCAATTCAATATTTAAATCTATCAACTCGGAGACCAGATGATCATATCAAAAGACTCCAAGGATTCTGTAAGTTCTTCATAAATTCTCTTTGCATTTATTTTCAGTATAGTTTGAATTTAAATATAGTTTAGATCGAACTCATTATCCATTGTTCCACATTTTTTTTTTGTTAGAATTGGATTTTGTCCGAAAGAATATTAGAACTAAACCCAAACTAAATTTATTAAATATATAATTATAGGTAAGACATTCTACTCTTTATTCATGCAGGGAACTGGTAAATATTAACTGATTTATAAAACTGCAAATAGTGTTACCTAAAATTTTGGTTAGACCTAGGTATTTGTAAGACGTCAAATCTATTATTTCAAAATGGAGAAAACATCAAACAACGATGAATTGCTAAGGCTTTGCCCAAATGAAATGTTGTTATGAATATTACTAAATCGTTTTTCTAAAAGGCACTGAATCTTACCATGTTGAGATAATAGAACTACAGAGCAAGACTTGTTGCTTTTCTAATTAAGAAAAATGATTTGTTCATTTTGAACAGGATTTTCTTCCAGGAATCTATCGTGGAAAGAACTTTCCTAAAAATCTAAGAACAATAAAATGCACAAATCAATCAAAGTAATATGCTAAAAATATGCTGATAAAAAATCTGGAGATTTTATACTGTGTTGCCAGAAAACTGTGTGTAATAAGAAAATGAAAATCAATTAAAATTCTACTACAACACATATAAAATAAGCTGATTCTACTTCGAAAAAATTAAAGCTATTTGACACGATGTATTTTATAATAATGACAAACTTTCGAAACTTTTTTCATATTTTTAAACAACTATTGTCTACAATGAAACATACTTGTTGTTGAGTAATTACTTGAAGAACATGACATAGCCATCGATAAGAAGTGTTTTTCATAAGAAATACTTTTGTATTCGACGCTATTTCGAAATATTATTGCTCAACATCAATTTGGTTTCAACTTAACATACTATTTTAGTCTAGCAATGTAAGGAGGTCCGAAAGTGATGGTTTATCGATAAACCTACCGAAATCTAACTTCACCATCACTACCTCATGACCTCCTTTTTTGTCTTTCGTTACATAAAAATAAAAAAAAAGAGACAACAACATTTATACAATCTGCAAGGACTTCAAACATTTTAATGAATTCTACTACATAAATTATTTGACTTTATTTCTGAATGAAGGACTACTATATTGTTTTAATCGTCAAAAACCAATACTCATATCAACACTTTTGTAATCCTTTCTATACAATGTTTGCCGAACTTAATGAAATATTTCAATATTTTCTCTATTGGATTTTTTTGATCTACCTCAGAATGTTGAAATCGACAAATATCGAAAAAATAAATGCAATGAACTATATATATGGTTTACCATTTATAGTCGCAAAAACGGCAAAAAAGACACTAGAATTTCTTAATTTTTGTATTATGTCTGTGAAAATGTTAATATTCTGCCACACAAATATTCTATCGTGCTAGCAAAAATCTGCTATAGGACTGTTCGAGCTTTAAACGATCAACTAAATTTTTGTCACATAGGGAAAATAGTTTAAAAATATGATACTCAAACATAACTGAAGAGAATAATTTTTTTTCTTTTTCATAAAAAACCTTAACCTATTATTTTATAAATTAAATACTACTCATGAGCCTGTAGTATCTACGCGTATGCTTCCAAGCACTCAGCAGAAAGTTTTAAGAACATATTATTGTCCACACGAAAATATTGTAATGTACACAGAAAATAGGCTAATGAAGTTTTTCTTTCTCAGTAACTAGAAGATGCAGTTCATGCACACATGACATGATGCTCATCAGAGAATTATTCGACTGATTTTTGTTGAATTCTTCTCACCGTTGAATACATCTTCCATTCGATATGCATATATTCTGTATTACGTTTTGTTTTACTTTGTTATGCTCGCCAGACGTAGATGATATTGAAGCATTTCGTCTGCTTGCTTCGTTGTTTACCTTAATCTTTGTTTTATTTTTCCTAATACATATAACAAACTGTTTGCCATTAGTCGCGATGGAAACACCGAAGGCATAGTTACAAGTTAGAAAACTTCC